GAGGTGAGATGCACAAGTTACAGTGGGAGGAGGTAGAGGAGGAGGAGGTGAGATGCACAAGTTACAGTGGGAGGAGGTAGAGGAGGAGGAGGTGAGACGCATAAGTTACAGTGGGAGGAGGTAGAGGAAGAGAAGGTGAGATGCACAAGTTACAGTGGGGAGAGGTAGAGAAGGAGGAGGCGAGATGTACAAGATGCAGTAGGAGAAGCGAGGAGGTAGAGGAAGAGGGAGACGTAGATGAGAAGTGGAGAGAGTGGAGGAGGTACGTAGTACAGGAGTAGTGAGCAGGTAGATGAAGAGACGGCAGAATGGCTAGAGTGAGAGAAGGATCAGAATGGGAGAAAGGCATATGGTGCAGTAGAAGAAGGGAGGATGTAGAGGAGAACGAGTAGGAGCAGAGAGAGGAAATGAGGTAGATGAGAAAGGGAGCAGGTAGGAGCTGGAGGAGAATCGAGGCATAAGATACAAAAGGAGGAGGTAGAGAGGAGGAGGGGAGGGGAGAGAGAGAGAGGCATAATGTAGAGTAGGAGGAGGGGAGGAGAGAGAGGCATAAGGTAGAGTAGGAGGAGGGGAGGAGAGAAAGGCATAAGTTAGAGTAGGAGGAGAGAGGAGGTAGGTGAGGAGAGAGAAAGGAGGGAGATGAGCAGGGGAAAGGGTGGGAGAGGTATGTGGTAGAGGATTAGGGAGGAGATAATGAAAGAGGGGGATGAGGTAGAAAATAATGGAGAGGAGTGTAAGTGACGAAGATAGAAGGGGAAACTGTGGAGAATGAACATATAATATGGAGGTGACAGCATGTAAACGTGAAGCGAATTAGGCTGTTGATAAACAACTTTAAAAAACTTGCTAGGCTGTAATAACATAAAAGCTAACGTGCGGTGAAACTGAACAAAGCGATTTGCGTTCGTCAGTAAGGTTATATGCACTTCTAAACGATACGAGCTGTCAATTATTCTATAATTCGTCACCTCGGCGAGTGAGATAGCCATATTCTTCGCTAAGCGTCTGCACTAATTGTTTTTGACCGTCATTAACAATCCTCTAAATACACGCAAGGAACAACATTTGTTTGGAGTCCAGACGAAATGTAGTATATAATGGTAAGTCATTACTGGACGATTACAACTTAAACTATTGTTAGCTAGAGCACTCGGAGAGCACAGACCTCCGCCAAGGCAGCTGAATTCTGTCACTGTAAAAAAATTTAATTAATTAATTGGATCCGGATGACGACCAAAATGTAATCAATTCCAAGTTAGCCCATTTCTGACCTATCCTGAAAATGTTATTTATTAATTGGATCCGGATCACCACCAAAATCTCATCAATTCCAAGTTAGCCCATTTCTGACCTATCCTGAAAATTCTGGACCCCTAAAGTGTTGCCGACGGAAGTAGTATTTCGCTGAATTTCTGCAATTGTCCTAGAGAGCACATCGCTAGCACTCGGTGCATGCGATAAAAAAAATTCGCTAGACAGCCCGTCGCAGAGGCGACGTCGGAAAGAGGGGGGTATACGTATATATTATGTGCATATCGCCGTCGGCCGTACGAAAAAGATGGCGCTCTGCAAATCGCAAATACGCAGGCAGTCGCCGAATATTACCATGTTTTCCTATTTAAGCGGATAGCCCGAAAATGGTTTGAATGTATACTTCCGCCTCATGCTCTATATTTTCGGTGCGAACGGGCATGCACAAATCTGATATTTCCCCTTGTGAAACTGAGAAATTATTCGAAATGTGTATATAGCCAAAACGCACAAACGGATCGAGTTTCTGGATGCCCTAGAATTGCCGACGGAAGCAGTATTTCGCTGAATTTCTGAATTGTCCTAGAGAGCAAATCGCCAGCACTAGGGGCATGCGATAAAGAATTTCGCTAGCGTCTCAGCCCTTTGCAGAGGTGACATCGAAAAGAGGGGGTATGCGTATATATTATGTGCATATCGCCGTCGGCGGTACGAAAAAGATGGCGCTCTGCAATTCGCAAATACGCAGGCGGTCACCGAGGTTTTCCTATGTTTTCCTATGTATTACCATGTTTTCCTATAGGTTTTCCTATGTTTTCCGATGTATTACCATGTTTTCCTATAGGCGGATAGCCTAAAAATTGTGTGAATGCATAATTTCGCATCATGCTCTATATTTTCGGCGCAAACGGGCATGTGCAAAACCGATATTTCCCCTTGTGAAACTGAGAAATTATTCGAAATGTGTGTATAGCCAAAACGCACATACGGATCGAGTTTACTGGATCCCCTATAGAGTTGCCGCCGGAACCAGTATTTCGCTGAATTTCTGCAATTCTCCTAGAGAGCACGTCACGCGCACTAGGTGCATGCGATACAAATTTTCGCTAGCGTCACAGCCCGTCGCAGAGGCGACGTCGGAAAGAGGGGGGTATACGTATATATTATGTGCATATCGCCGTCGGCCGTACGAAAAAGATGGCCCTCTACAATTCGCAAATACGCAGGCGGTTGCCGAATTTTACCATGTTTTCCTATATATGTCGGCTATCTGGCGCCAAAATGAGATGAAATAGGTCCTACGTTAAGCATTCAAAAATAGGGTGCTATGTCTACAGGAGTCGCGCATCGCAAATAGCGAACTAGCTAGGTCGATGTGGCGGCACTGCCCTGCCTTCGGTCCTTTGCTATACTAATGTATTTAGATAAGGCGTTACGTGGACAAGTCATCGACCTGACGCCCAAAAGAAATAATGTAGGGCCGACGTTAAGCATTCAAAAAGGAGGGTGCAATGCATTCAGGAAGAGTGCTTCGCAAATCACGACCTCGCTACGTCGATGTAGCGGCACTGTCCCTTCTATATAATATATATATATATAGTGGCACTGGCCTAAGGTCTCTTGCTATATTAATATAACTATAAGATGAACCTGGCACGTATAACCACCACAAATAATCGCAATACACAAAAATAACATTAATGTACATGAAGATGGCGCTCGCGCGTTGGTCACCGTTGACTGCCAAGAGGACTTTCTTCGGTCGTTCTCATAAGTTGCCATAAATGACCAATAACCAATCACAATACGGGCAACCGTTACTCGAACATAACCAATCCCGATCGCGTATGGTTGGCCATCGTACTCAGATATTTTTACCCAGTCAAAGTCATTGTTACACATAATTTAACGGCGGTAAAATATTTCAACCGCGGTTAAATTATGTGTAACTAGAGCACTCGGAGAGCACAGACCTCCGCCAAGGCAGCTGAATTCTCTCACTGTGAAAATTTTTATTTTAATCACTGTGAAAATTTTTAATTAATTAAGTGAAAATTTTTATTAATTAATTAATTAATTAAATAATTAATTGGATCCGGATCACCATTGCTAAGTTACCCCATTTCTGAGCTATCCTAAAAAAATTATTAATTTATTAATTAGTTAATTAATTAATTGGATCCGGATCACCACCAAAACGTAATCCATTCTAAGTTACCCCATTTCTAACCTATCCTGAAAATTTTATTAATTAATTAATTAATCACCACCAAAATTTCATCAATTCTAAGTTAGGCGATTTCTTACCTATCCTGAAAATTTTATGACAATCCGTCTATAACTTTTTCAGTTAGGCTGTACACAAACCCACAAACCCACAAACCAACACTCAAACACACGCCGGTGAAAACATAACCTCCGCCAAGCCCCTGGCGGAGGTAACAAGGCCTCTGATTGGGTACAATTATAAGAGCCATAATTTAACCGCGGTTGAATTATTTCTACCGCGGTAAAATAATTTATCCGCGGTTGAATTGTGTGTAACACGACCTCTGATTTGGCAAAAGACCAATAATTATACCGCGATTAAATTATTTCAACCGTGGTAAAAAATTATCTCCGAGTACGATGGCCAACCATAATTGCGCGCTTACAAACACGCCCAATGTGTGCCAATGACGCACGCACGTATAATATACTAAACAATACAACGTAGGTAGGCTACGCCGGCTCAGCCGTCGGCGTTGTCGACGCAGGCAACGGCAATCAAAGAAGTACACAAATAATTCGTATACACATTTTTGGAACGTGACAATGTCCCACGAAAACTAGACAAATCGCTAACGTGCATCCGCTGTGCACAGAATAGAGAATTCCACTTCTAAATCGAGAATAGAGAATTGAGAATAGAGAAATCCGCATCCAAAACTTGGGTGAGGTAAGTACAGGTTACTGCAGCCGCGTGGCTAGGCTGCTCGCTACAGTATAAAATTATAAAATAATGTATAAAATAATAAATATATAGCTGCATTTAGGTGTGTATGTATGACGTCTCTGGCAGATCGGCAACATCAGCTAGACGTTTCTACAAGCGCCGACGTGTGCTACGCTGTATATCACTGTTTAGATGATCAAAAGTTTGTATTTTGTATTTGAGA